CAAATATGACCCTAAACATAGGGTCATCATTCTCCAGTGGTGTTCTGCATGTCCGTGACAGCAGGCACAGTGCATCAGGCAGCGAGAGAGCAGCACTGCACAAAATAAATAAAAGCCCCTGGACACACTGTGCCCAGCCATGTCTGACCAATCCCTACGATTCTGTCACATCTAATCACATCCATCGGCTAGAACCAGCAGCTCCTGCAGTGCCACACTCAAAACATCTACTGCACTCCATACATTTCCTCTCCTACTTTACTTGACAGAGCAGAAGTTCATGGCAGTCTCTCAATTCTACATCCATGTGGAGTCAAAGTTGCGATGGCACAAACATATGGAAAAAAGCTGCTATGTTTACGTTCACTTAAGACATAAATGACTGTTTGCGAGAATATTTAGATATTTTTGCGTACATTTGTCCATTCAAGTGCAAAAAGATGTGGAAGAGAATGCAGTTCGGTATCGCTCAATATTCGGTATGCACATTTTGGATGTGTGTGCAACACACAAAACAGCACACGGGACTTCTTGCGCTTGAATGGTTTAAAGTCATTAAAATGCACACAAAGGAATCGATCATTTTAATTTAAGAACAAGTATCCGATTCCTAAGCTTTAGTATTCGATTCCAGAATTGGAATCGATTTTTGATTCCCAACCCTACACACCCCTCCCTTCATTGCTCCTGCCCAAAATGCATAAAAACGCAGTGCAAGAGTGGATGTATCTTTATCATGCTGCAGCGAAGCAAAATAATGCTTTGCAAAAAAAGTGAAGATGACAAAATATGACAAGGAAAAACAAAACATTACCATAGAATACATGAGAGTATATACAAGCAAGAGTTGGTTGTTAGTCGCCAGCAGCACACCAGCTTCAGACAAACAATAACACTCAAAAGTGTCCTGTTACTATAGCTAACATTACAACAACAGAATATATTGGTTCTGTGAAACACAGCAAAACCAATAGTACTCACGTATGGAGCAGGAACAACAACCTCAACATCCGTTTTCAGGCCTTCCTGCTTATGTCTCTCCAGCGCTGTAAAGCTTTTCTAATATTAAAGTGGGTTCTAAAGCTCTTGCCAAATCAAACCCCTTCTTTTTCCAGTGATATTCTTATGATCTTTTCTCTTTTGTAATGTCTCCCAGCCATCTCTCTTTCTACAGTCTTTCTTTAAATCTCCCTCTTGCTCACTCTCTCCTCCCCAAACATGTGTACACGCCTCCTACTGCTGATTGGCTACAAGTGTGTTGTGGTGCTCTTCTTTCAACAGCATTTCTCAGAAATCGCTTACTAAACCTTAAAGTTGGCCTCTGTCGAGTGAACCAACATGAAACATTATTTACAACCCATTTCCCTCCCATAATGTCCAACATTTCTGAATGAAACCATATTCAACAAGTCAAAAAATTACTTGGGAGTTGATTTTACCAATAAGCAGTTAAATAGGCCAGGCTATATGTTGAAAATAGGGCATTTCATAACAATGCAAATCTCAATAGCCTGCATGTCAACCAAGCAGGAATAATTCACAGGTGGAGCCTCTGAGGGAGTAACTACATTTTGATGAAAAATGTACAAACCCTTCAAATAAAACTATATCTGTATCAGAATGAAATGAAATGAAAATGAAACTATATCAGATATCTATCTGCTTACTGTGGAAAAGATAAGGTTTTTTGCATCCCAAATCGCATACTAATGCACTACTCTATACCATTTTGTAGTATGAATGGTGTGAGCAGTGTGTTTACACTGAAAATCCTAAAAGTAATAATTTGCAGTTTCAACAACTAGTGAGGAATGTTGTGCAATACATACTCTCAACTGATAGTGGATGACAAAATAACTTTATAAAATTCATACACTAGATGGTAGAGTACACAGTGATTAGTGCGCCATTTGGGCCACTTCAATGTTTTTTGTCCATTCAATGGAAGTCAATGGTCAACATTATTCAAAATACCTTCTTTTATGTTCCACAGAAGAAAGAAAGTCATACAGGTTTGGAAAGACACGAGGGTGAGTAAATGATGATTTTTGGGTCATTTAAATGGGCTAGTTTTTGATTTCATGCTGACTTTAACACTCTCTCAAGGCTGTCATTCATAAGCAAATGAAGCTACAAAACTCCACCCATCAGTACTAGAATTGTGTAAGAGAGAGGCAGAAAGAGGCCAGGCAATATGAGTAGTGAGGTGTGGCTGCACTTAAGACACCGGAGAGCTCAGAGTGGATGAAACTGGTCTGGTTAAGACGAAAGCTGAGCTTGAGAAGCTGCTGGCCTGCGACATCACCGCAGAGCCGAAGACTGCCTCCTGCCTAAATATTCTCATATGCTCTGTATGGAGATAATGGACCTTTATGGAAAGGCAGGAGAGGGTTTATAACAGAACAGACGATGGAAATGGAAAAGATGGTTACCAGGGTTTTGTTGATGGATTATGATGAACCCTAGAACATTGAGCACCTTTACTTCACATTCCACCCAGGATGTACTCTTTCCAATGGGACATTGTTTAGGGATTAAAACAGAATTTAAAGATCTGAAAATAGAACTGAATTTGTGGCAGTCCACCTATAAGCTTGCATCAGGATCTGTTGGTAAGATTGTAGCTAGCAAATATAGCAATGTCACTGCCATTGTAAGGCTTACAAAAAAGCAAGGAAATGAGAATGCATTTTGTTCTCAATAATGTTTAGCTCCATGTTACAAATACAACTGCAATGCACACAGACACAGCTACACCAAAGTGACAGTAAAGGACCTGCTTGCAACTTTGTGACAATGTTTATTATAACAATGACGTATTAAAGCCATGATAAAAAGGAAATAGCAACCAATAATTTATTCTGTATTCTGAAGTACATCCAAGTGTAATGGATTATTGAAAAGAAAAAAAGAAAAAGTTAGGTTGGGACTTGGTTCTTTGTGGGTTGTTGATTGGATTTTAAAATGGCGGGTTTAAGAGGAATAAATGATCAGAAGTCATTTTCACTGGAATATCGAGTTATGACATTAAGATTTATGACATTATCGAGTTATGACTAACAATATGAGGTCAAAACATTTTAAAATAATGCAACATGCACAAATAAATTGTTCACAATAAGATCTATGACATGCACTTACAAAATAGATAATAGGAAATTAGAAAAACATTTCATTTCATGACGAGTTTAAACAACATGCTTCACACATTAAAGTTGGTATGAAACAGAAGTTGCGACAGTCTTTTCTTTCCTATTATGATGCATTTCCGAGTGCAACGACTTCTCGAACAAGAAAAAAATGGCATAACTTAATTTTGTCCATCTAAAATTTTATTTTATTGTTGAGGTTATCGTAAAAGTTGTTTTGATTAAAGATTATGAGGGCACATGAATAAATAATTATATGCATGAATGAACAATTTATAATAACAACTGCAACTTTATAGTATAGTATACTATATTGACTTTATAGTATTAATTCAAGTATAATAACAACCAAGCACCAAGAAACTGTACTGATACATTTATGACTATTTTAAAGGTGGGGTAAGCATTATTTAAAAAACGCTGTTTGGAAGTTAGACGGACCGACACACAAACAAACGTGTGTAGCCAATCAGCATTAGGGGGCGTATGACGGTGGAGGAGAGAGAACGAGGAAGGAGATTTGAAGACTGCAGAAAATAGAGATAAGACACAATACAAAAGAGAAAACCTCAGAAGAATATCAATGGAAAATTAAGAGGTGATCGGGAAAGAGCTTTAGGACCCGCGTTAATATTAGAGACGATTTCCAGCGCTGGAGAGAGCTAAACGGGAAGGCCTGAAAACAGACACGGATGTTGCTTTGATTCCGTTCCACATGTGAGTAACACTGGGTTTGAGTGTCATTGATTGTCTGGAGCCGCTGTGCTGCTGGCAACTAACAACAAACTCTTGTTTGTAATTACTATCGTGTACTGTACAAACAATTTTTTTGTGATTCGTTGTCATTCGTTCATCCTCTGCACTTTATTTTTCGTGAAATATTATTTTGTTGCGCTTCTGCTATGATAAACAGACATCGACTCTTGGATTGCGTGCGTAATGGAGGCCAGGTACTGAGTCGCACTGACGACTGCTAGTTAGTGCACTCGCCTCGCATGCCGGCGATCGGTTTCGAGACAGACTCAGAGCAGGGCGGTTAGGATTGGAGGGTGAGTTTAGGAGGCGGACCAATGAAGAGAGGGGTGTGTTTATCATTTCAAATATTAACAATGTCCAACAGCGTTTTTGAAATATCGCTTACCCCACCTTTAAGTGAACACACATAAACTAAAACACAGTGAGACCACCCACTTCAACAGCTATTATGGTTACAGTCACCTGGTTACAATCTGAAGAAAGATATTGATATGACCAAGAACAAAAAAACTGCTTTCACTTCACTTGTGCTTAATGGTCAAGTATCACTTTTGGCTACATAGTCCCTGTGGACACATAATAGGATAGTATGCAGTGTACCAAGGTGAACCATTATGAAACAGGTGGATATGTGGAACAGTGATCATCTGTGACAAAATCAACAACATCATCAACAAAGCCGGTACACATACTTGGGTAAATCACCACCACCACTATATAATAACACTACCTGAATATGAAACGTCAGACGGGCAGTATTAGACCTTCTGATTAGTTCAACTCCAGGCTGGTTTTCCATTCATGCATTAGTAATGGTTTTGGTCAAAGACGCATGGCTGAATAGTGATTCGCCGGATATAAGCACAATGAGCCGTCAGGGTCTGGACATCATTCAATTCATATGCGATATGCTGCCAAAATAGGCAGCTTTTGACACATAGTTTTGGCCTTTTTTCTCCGGGTGACTCAGGACCGTGAAGCATGAGAAACCTGAACGGGCTGTTCAACGAGAGTCCTGCCGCGTAAAGGTGATCAAAACATAAAACGCGAGTTTTAAGGAACAGTGGATTTTTTTTTTTTTTTAGATCATCTCACCTTTGGCTTCGCAGTCGGCGCAGTACTTGTTATCATCCTCTCTCAGCATTTTGGACAGAATGGCCTGATGCTGCTCGTTCAGTTTCTGAGCCTTTTCCCTCTCCGATCGAGTCGTCATCTCGGACCGTTTTCTGTCAACGTCTCTGGATAAAATCACCGGTCTTTCCTCCGATTCACTCTGTTCACTTGGATCGTAATAAATGGAAGACCATCCCCTGTGAAATGAAACTATGATGGGCTGAAGGCAACAGAGCGGCGACTGGGTTGAGAGGTTGAGACTGAGCGGCGGAATATGGCCGATTGGAGGAACTGACCGGAAGCGGAAACTGAGACGAAGTACAGTGGGATAATTAAAATAGCTTTAAAATACAGTGAATGGGGAACCGGGAGACCATTTAATCACATTTAATGAAATATTACTTTTATGTAATTTTAAAAGTCAAACCTTTGCTTTGTGAAATCCAAATTTTGAGGCCACTGTGACTTTTGCGTCATTGGTGACGTATGTGTGTGTAGGAAGGTTGGGCAGCCGGTATGAGCATGACGCGAAAGGTGGAGATATGATTATGTGTAAAGCATTGCTAAGGTAACGTAGAATGTTGTCATTTGTTTAAAACCTGATAAATAGACTATCGTTTACTTCGGCAAAAGCTATTAACTGGGTAACGTCGTTAACATTATAAGCTTGCAACCCTGTTTGCGAAAGCATGTCTAAATTTTAAACCCTGACAGAAGCTTAATAAACAATAATAACAAACTATTACGAATTAAACCTTAAAAACTACATTCTAAAATCATGCCAATTTCTAACAACAAATTTTACAAATAAAACTTAAAAAAAAAACATAAAAATGACCTAGAAAAAAAATACATTGGAAAAATACCATTAAAATTATGGCATTGCTGTATGATTTTAATATTTAAATACAATCTAATAAGACCTTTAATAATGCACAGGCCAAACCCCCTATTTTAAGGGGAAACAGACATTCAATATGCTAAAAAAAATGCTACTTTTCATGCTATATTAGATGATAGTTTATCAACAATCTTTAATAGGTCTCTTAACAAAAGTCATAGAAAAAACACATGCGACAGCAAAGTATAATGTATTTGTTGAATGTGCTTTGAATTATCCCCTGCAACATATCAGCCAAACTACCACTGTTCAGTTTTGTAGTCTTTGCAGAGTTATACGCTGATCAGGCTATCCCTCCCAGCCTTGCTGCTGTGCCCTGATTATACTTTTAACCCCTCTCTGCGTAAAAGCTGATATGGTACTGCCTGTAGCCATAACAATTAATGCGCAGATACGCAGGGAAACAATATATTATTTTCACAAAATAAAACTGACTAATTACATTATACTAAACACATAAATGTCCTTGTGACAAAACTTTGAATGTTTGAAATGTGACAAAATAAATGATTAATACATTTTATGGTTGAATATGTTTATTCTTCAAAGAGACCTTTTGGACACTGTGTTACCCTCTTTCATATATATATATATATATATATATATATATATATATATATATACATATATATGGGGTGTAACAATATATCGTGTCACAATAACACAATACAAAAATGCAACAATATGTATTGTGGATCGTGACAATATGTATCGTGGAAAGTTCACTCAAAATCAAATTACTGCGTGAGATTTTTTTAATAGTTATTTGGCTATTATATTTGTGTAAAAAGTGGCCTACATTATTTTAAATATATCTAGTCAGTGACAGAGTTCAAGCATATTCATCTAAAATAATTCTGTATTTTCAGCTTCAGAATAATGATTATTTCTATCCTGGTGTCACCATTGTCATTGGGTTACCAGCACCAAGTCCAAGCCTATTCATTTACACCCACAATGTAATATCAAATGTAGCATTTTAATCAACTGTACATTTTTTGTTAACCTTTTACCATATGTCTTGGAGTATTGCAATAATATTGTATCGTGAGTTCAGTATCGTGATAAGTATCGAACCGTTACACCCCTATATACACATACAGATTCTTATCAAAATGCCAATTAAAGACTACACAGATCCATTCAAGTAGTTACTACTTTTGCACACTTACATACTACTACATAGCAGGCCCATACAATCAGGGGAGACGAACATCATTTCTAGGTTCAGAAATTCTCTTATTTATCTGTATACAGAATTAATGATTACATTCAAATGACTCAAATGGTCAAATAAATAAATCTGAGTATTTTAACAGGCCAAATCTAAAAATCAATACAACGACCCTTCCTTTCCCAGTCACCATATCGTGTAGGTTCAGGGCCTCTGGGGCCACCTTTCTCCTTAGTTTCTGGATTCACATCATCTGGAAATCCTGTTAAAGGAGAAATTTAACCAATTAAACAAACGTTTTGTGTAATAATTATTATACACTTTAAATATGTCATCTGATTTAAAGCATCTGTAAAATAGACATATAATTTTTGGAAAGAAAGAAAACATTTCCTATCCTTCCTTATGCTCTCTGTCCTTTATGTAATTTATTCAACGATTATATTATAACTGTATAACAGAGTTGCCGTGTGTTCTTACTTTTAAGGACATCTTTAGATTTGGGCTCATTTTCGTCCATGTCAAAGCGTCCTTGGGGCGTTTTTGCTTTCTTTAAAGGTTCTTTATCTTTGGTCACCCCACCAGAAGCATATCCTGCTGTCCTATGATATGCTGTAGGAGACAGCAGTGCAATATTTCAACAAATCTGTCGCTGTTCGTAAGACTCACGATTCTCAGTAATCAATATAAAGAAGGTTGAAAATGATATAGATAAATGTGACATAAGTACAATTAGACGCATATTGGGCAAGCAAGCATCCAAATAAACACTCACCAGGATAAGTCGACTCTAAAAACAATCCTCTCTTAACAAAACCACTAGCTGTCGTACAGCAAACACGTAAAAGAGACATCTTGCGTTAAATGCTGTAATGTTGTGAACGTTTCCCTTGTCGCTGCAGAAAATTACACAACTGAAGGATATTTAGACGACGAAAAATGACGTGTCTTGCGTCATCTTTTAGGGACACTAAATACACTCGAAATGGTGGAGGCGGCGCTAAAGAAGTGCAGAATCTAATGTTATGCACATTTGTATCTGCTTTGCATGCATTTTTTCCCCAAAGCGATACTACGAAATAATACATTCCTGTAAGACAGGGAAATGAATTACTATTAATGTTACAGAACATACTCAAAAAGTACACAATTACCTTTTGTGATGGTACCCAGCTATTAAACAGTTTTAAAGGTATGACAGCAAAAATAGCTACAAACATAAATGGTCATTTTATTAATCATATAAAGTAAAATTATATGATGTAATGTTACGCGATTTTCTTCTTAAAGGGATTTAATTTTTATTGTTGAGTGAATCAGGCCTATCCCTTTAATTGCGTTGTAATACAAAAAGAAAACAAAAACGTGCTGCATCATGCAAGGCTACTTTGAATCAAATCTGCAACTGTTTTGAAATTGACAAGCCACGTATACCCACATAAAAATAATAAAAAATAATCGCTTTCTTATAGTTATAGCCTAAGCATACCTAATTGTAATTTGCACTCTGAGATATTACGTGTAGCCTACATTACAATATTAAAATAATAGCCTACGTGAATCTAAACGAACCCTAGTCAATGTAGGCTAGGCTTAATAGTCCAGTCATTTTATGAAAAAAGGTTGAACAAATTGCAACAGAAGCAAACTCAACTGATTTTGTATCCTCAATATGTCCTGAGTAAGGAAGAAAAAAAAGCCCCGAAGAATCCCATTAGGGGGAGTTTCGAAAAAGACCCAAATTTCATACGCCTATTCATTATTTTTCTGACGTGAATAGGGTACCTTTACATATCACCATGAAAAATACTGAGTTGATTACTTACATCAAGACAAACAAAAAATGTATTACAAGTTTTTTTTTTAATTGTTTGTTAACATGGACAAACGGTGCATAATCTAATGATGTATGTGCTAGTTTGCATAAATACCACAACAGATCTAAACATTGGATATAGCCAGGTGAAGATGTCTTGTTGAATCTTGTTGACACATAACAGTAAAATACTTAATGTTAAGGTATGATTGGAACCCATTTAGGCTACCCATGAGCATTAATACATAGAGGCAGGAAGAAGTACTTTTAAAACCAGCCTTTATTAATTATTATAGCAGAGATGGGGTTTGGGGCTGTGCCCGTGGGACTGTTTCTGGGGGATGAGTCTGAGGGAAGAAGAGACACTGGAAAGGAGAATGCAGAAAGCAAAAGGTAGGTCAAATAAAAATTGGCTGGATCAAACAATCAAATTAATCCATGAAACAAAAGGAAATCTTTCTTTCCTGAGTGACAGCGTGACAGTTGAGTGGACCTTGAATGAATGACTGAATCTCTGCCTCCTATGGTGACATTTGTTTGCCTCTATAGTTTTTTACTGTAAGATTTCAACAAGATTCAACAAGACATCTTCACCTGGCTATATCCAATGTTTAGATCTGTTGTGGTATTTATGCAAACTAGCACATACATAATTAGATTATGCACCGTTTGCCCATGTTAACAAACAATTAAAAAAAAACTTGTAATACATTTTTTGTTTGTCTTGATGCAAGTAATCAACTCAGTAATTTTCATGGTGATATCTGAAGGTTTAAATTTTTACCCTATTCACGTGAGAAAAAGAATGAATAGGCGTATGATATTATTTGGGTCTTTTTCGAAACTTTCCCCTAATGGGATTCTTCGGCCCCCCCCCCAGGACATATTGAGGATACAAAATCAGTTGAGTTTGCTTCTGTTGCAATTTGTTCTAGGTTGACCCCCATTTTGGCTTAAAATGACGACTATAATGTTCCTCATAACTTCAGACAATTGGAAAGTGCGCAACTTTAGTGCACTATAGCAGTTGGTTCTAATAGCCTACATTTCTAATTATTTACCATAGAGTTGGCATAGCCTATGTATATTGTGAGGCATATGATATGGCTATATTTAGGCCTAGCTATTGATTCCCGATTCCCAGACCAGTATACGGTCTCGTTAACTTACGTTATCTTACGTAGCAACGCGGCCTGTTTGCTTCCCAAACACAGCAACAGATCGTTACGGATATATTTGTCCTAAAAAGGCAAGTGGCCTCTAGGAGATTGTATCGCCGATATGAAGATAATGTGGGAAATGCTGCCAGTAAATTGAGGTATCACGCCGTACGCAACTATCGTGGGGACGTCATTTAAAAAAAAATTTTTTTTTAAATCAATATCATTATCAAGAATATTCCATCGTTATATGTTAAAGTGGGCCTATAGAGTTAAACTCTCACCGCATGCCATTATTTCCAGCCCACCACGTGGAATGAGATATTTTACCGTATGTTAGTAGGCCTAGTTCATTGTCCCATGTTTCTGCGCTAAATGACTTCCATCTCTTAACATGCTGGAAGGTTTTAAGCGACACATTATGCGATTTCGGAAGAGATGATGAAATGTTAGGCCTATTGGATAAGCTTCTGCTTAGTTTCAGAAACACCATCACATCTGCACATCGTTAATATCACAAACACACATATGCATTCTCTATTCTCCAAGGCACATATTTATCATGCAACCAAAACTGTCATTCACTTAGATGAGAGATATGACAAGCCCTGTGAGGTGTTGCTATGGTTACTCAACAAGAAGCGCTAAACAAATCGAACAGAAAGACCCAGGCTGCTGGCTGCGACATGACAGATATTTAATTCATATCAAGCTATAATAAAATAGAGATTTTATAGGTCACGCCATCTTCGAAGAAAATAAAGGACAAATAAAAATCTTGTATCACATAAGCTTATATTTTAATATAAAAGAATAAGCATAGGCCTACAGTGCTACCAAGTTGATGCCTTTGAGAAACTGTTGGATGCGTAAAATGTAGCCTAGACGTGTAGCTACAGGTGTTAGGCTACTGAACATTGATATTTTGGCGTTGTCTCTTTCATATCAGTATAGTCTAGTTAGAGCCTATTTGAACAAAATAAATGGCTGCTTCTACAGGTTCCCGAGAACATTATCCAGAAAGCTAAAAACATAAATGCACTACAAATAATGTTAAAATAATTACATTGACAACGAATAATTTTTCTGGAAAGTTGCAACAACATATTTCTGCATATCAAGTGCTTTAATTTATATCACGCTTCCGTCTTCACCATATAGGCTACGGTGAAAAAATAAGTCCCACATAGTTATCACAAGCATAAAAAATGAAAGCCGGCCCATTAATGTATAGACTCATGGGCCCATTTTTCCTGTAGCCTAATGTTTAATCCACAGGACGAATTTGTTGAAAGTGTTAACAAACGTGCAAAAATGCAATCCCTCTATGCAAGCGTATAGGCCTACAATTATGAAGAAAAAAAAATAGCCTATCTAAAAATGAATTGGTAACACTTTATAATAACTTTGTTCATATTCCTAAAATTATGTTCATCAGCTCATTAGCTGATTAATTGGAAACAGTTCATTCAAATAGAGAGAATTAATCTTGATTGGCCTTAGCTATTGCATTCCTCCAAGAAGCCTATAAAGTTATGAACGTTTGTTGTTTTTACATGCTTTTCGCAAAAGTGCACATAACATTAGAGCACCCTTCACACGCTAAAGTCGGTGTCTTTTTCATCAAGTAGACATGGTGAATTCAGGTTGATTGGGACACCTTTTCCAAGTCATCTCAATGACAAGTGTCCCACTCAACCTGAATTCACCCCTATACCCTATCTATGGTTTAATCACCGTCATTGTGGCAAGGAGGTCCGTACGCATGCTCGACTCTTTCGTTTTCACTCGTTTGTGAGTAAAGAGGGGCTAGCTTTTCAGTCTTCCTACAGCGAGGCCGTAGTAGGCTATGTGTATAATCCTGGCAATGGCAACACGGATAGCCTGTTAATCATAATGCTTACCGTATTTCCATAGGGTACAACAGAGAGGTTGCGTCATTCACCAATCAAGCAGTGGTCTGCTTTTTTCTTAAAGTAGCCATACGTGCTTTCATAATGATGACAGTAATGCGTTGCGCAAGATTCTGCCTCTGATGTGCAAAGATATCGATGAGCAAATCGGGCAATATGGCCAATCTATTTTTTCAGCTGTCACGATGTTTTCCTAGTCAGTAATCATTTATGCAGTGGATATTGCAAGATAATTTGATAGAAGGCTTATATTAAGTTTAGTTATAATTTTGCGAAAAGTTAAACATTTTAGCAGGCCTACTTAAATTAGACCTACTATGCTTTTGGGAGCCCATAATTTTACGAAGATTCGTACGTTCGTTTTTATGTGTTAACAGCCTATTTTATTTATAATATTTTGAGACTTATTAATAGTTAAAGGTTATAAACGTGTTAGCCTACTACAAACGTTATGCTATTGGAAGTATACAAATTAAAAAAGAATGTTTGAGGTACGAAATGTGATATAGGCTATGTTTTGCATATTGTTCGTTGCATTTTGAAAACAAAAAGATAAAATCATTAAAAACAAAAAAAAACAGATTATTCTGAACGACTGTAACGGGGAGCATCAAGTAGCCTAGCTTTTTTTTCTTTTTTCTTTTTTTTTACAAGTTGCATATTACAAATGAAAAACTAATTTTACATTAAAAAGAAGAAAGCAATCTGATATTGGGATATTCCTCTGTACATCCCACGTCCATAAAAGTCTGCCCATCTCAATCAGTGTTAGGAACGCTACTGATTTTCCCCGTGTTCTCAGTCCAGGGCTGGAGGTTCTGAAGTGCGAACAGAGAGCTGTTGTGAAGGCAGATTGGGTCCGGAGTAACAGGTTGGTTTATAGTCTTCTGAAAAGCTTCTTGCTGAAGTTGCATAAGAATTCGGTTCGCTTGTTGTCGCTCTGCTTCTCTCTCCTCTGCTGTCTGCCGCCTGTGTGATGTGGATCACAGGAGTCATTTAGTCGCGGATTCCAGTCATTATTATAGGCTGTTTTAGAAAGTGCTTGGCTAAATTGTAAATTTAATCAAAGAATACGAACATAGGATCTTAATTACAAAGAATACATATTATCACTCTTATTATATTAGACCTATACATCATAAAGTGGATTTCCCTAAATAATTCTGACAGTACTTTCATGGTGTCAATCGCACCCTTTTATTTCTTTACCCATAAAAGTTCCCATAAGCACTTTTTTTTGTCATTAATTCACTCAGATTATGTGCATGGAAAGCTTATAGTTTAAAATATAGCAGAATTCAGTTTTTTTTAAGGCTATGCATATTTCAGGCCTATGATAGGCCTGTATAAATTGGAAATTTATAAATATTTTATATAATATACAAATATAATTCAATATAAATTACATTTCAGGTTCTCATATGTCAGCGTCAAACGCTTATTTAGCCAAATGACAATAAGATTTATTTATAATAGTTTATTAAATATGAATTATTTTTTGTTATAGCCACATGAAATCATCATAACATCAATTAGCCTATCCAGCTTCAGTTAATTACAAATAAGACTTTAGAGCAACATTTGGTTACAAAATCAGAGCATATAATTTCTGTCATTTTCAGGTCTGTTTCTATGAAGTTAATTCTAGGTCTAACAGAATGTACAAAATAGTAAGAGCTGGAGTAAAAAATGTATTAGAAGTCCATAATTAAGTCTTGAGAAAGAAAAAGGACATTCAATTGTCATTTATCATTCAAATTTGAATAGATCAAATTCAATATTTAGCCTACTGATGTACCGATTGGATTGCTTTGATATTGAGTGAACTGCATGAACAGGCCTTACTACAAACCACCAATGGAATGTAGACTATGGGACTAACCCAACTGACCTCATGGAGTAGGCTGCTTTAAAAACAAATACTCAACTGAGTTTAGTGGTTAGACGAAAAAGAATGCATTACATGCGAGTGTAAAACCATGATTAGATCACAAAAGCTCACCTCCATTTCGTTCTTCTGTTCTGGAACCATGTTTTGACCTGCGCATCAGTCATTTTAAGTGCTTTCGCTAAGGCTGCCCTCTCAGCTGACGCCAGATACTTCTGACGGTGGAAGCGTTTCTCCAGCTCACAGATCTGGAGGCGCGTGAACGACGTCCGGGGCTTCTTCTTCTTCGGAGGGGTTCGGTTCTGATACGGGTGACCTATACGGCGTGTTACAGTGAACGGTGAGAGGGCCACTATATTGAGAGACAGATTGAAATCAAGCGGAAAAAATCAGCAAAACGCCAGAGCCAAGCAGTGAGAAGCAAATGAGACTTCCAGAGGAGAGAGGCGACTTTTGTCCTTTAAAAAAACATGCAACAACCACGAAATATATCGAATAAGTTCAGCCAAGCAAGCAGACAGTGATAGACTATCTTTTCGGCATCATGACGTGTGTTAAATGTAAAAAAAAAAAAAAAAAAAAAAAAGTAAAAATGTTTTGTCAAACAAAAAATATGTGCCTCATTTAAATTGGGCTAAGAGATTTTATCAGGATCAAAAATATAATTATTTAATTTGCATGAATCAAAGAGGGTTAAATCAATAGCACATTAAGGTAACAACTGCACATTTTCACAATTTACAGTGTGTAATTATTTTACATAATAATGCTAAAACAATAATGGCCATGTAGAATATTTACGGACATTATAAATCAACATTAGCCTCGACTATTGACACGTTTATATCGACTATTGATACGTCCCCATAGGGGAACCAATTTGTGGATATTAATTTTTCTGTTGCCTATTGCATTAAATTTGCAATAGTCGATATTTGTAGAAATGCTCGTTTATTAATTCGCGAGACCAGTGGCTTAATAAACTTTATATCGAGTAGGCCTATTTTTATATCGAAAGTTCTAAAATGTCCTTGTCAGAAATATAATGAAAATTTAATTGAAGGACTTTAAGTCATTATAAATTATATTAATCCGTGAATTTACTGCGTGATCAAATCATGCGTAGCCTAATTGCTTCCTTAAAATTTTAAGAAAAAGTTGTGACAAAGTTACAACCTGCAATAGCCTAGTTTTTCAACCGCTTTGATTACTGATATTGTGAAAACATTTTACAGTGTCACAAACACCACTGCGAGTTCAGAGTGATTTTTATTACCTGTAAATCTCTCTTTGGTATATCTCCTGTTACTCTCCATCCATGGAAACGTTAATCCCGTGAGATTGTTAATGGTGCCCATGCTTCCCATACTTGGCACCGTGGTAGCGCTGGTGGGAATGGACGAGTGAACGCTGCTCAGCGGCCGGTGCGCTGGAACTCGGATCACTCCCGAAGAATTAAGGCAATTGCCATTAACATTCGCGCCCAAGTTCATGTTGTACGAGCCGTTGAGGGAACCAACGCTGCACGAGTTTCCATTGTATCCAGCCGAGTTATTGACGCCGTAGTTGCCAGTCATGGTATTGTAGGCTGTGCTGACTATGCAGCCCAAACCGTAGTCCATGTCCTGCATTCTGGGGTTGGAGATCATGCAGCTCCCCTGGTCTGCATTGTTAAGAATCTGGTCGATCCCAAAACTGATGGTGTCTGCGTGCGTCTGGTGGAGATGCACTCCCATATGATCCATGGTGTGGAGAGGCGCGCGCTCCTGCGAGCCTACAGGATCCTCCACGTCACCCCAGTTATCATACAGCAACTAAAACGCAGTTTAGTCCAGTTTGTCGTTATCTAATAGCGTTGACTGCATGTGTGAGAAAGACTGAACTAGACGATTGTCTTTTTTACTGCCTCCCTTTACCCTTATAGCTATAGCCTGCCGGATGGAGCCACGGGAACATCAATCAAAATGCCAAAGAGGCTGGGTAAAATTAAGCCTCCAATTCTGGGGTGAGAGACCCAATTGGCTAAAGAATCCACGACGATTCTATTCAATGAAACTCACTGGAATTCCCTCTTCAGCACATGCAGGGCAACTCAAAAGAAGAGATTTATTAAACCAAAACACAGGCGATTTTTTTTTTTAAACAACACACACGTGAAAAAAAAAAACATTTCAATTAGCTACATTATATTGGCTATGCAGTCTACATTGTTGAGAAATGTTGTCTTTGGATACTTTTAATACGCGAAGAGTCCCTTTCACAACAAAACAATATTTCGCGACCATGAACTCTTAGATTTCAATTGAATTACAGTGGTTTATCAGTATTTTAGAGACGGATCAATCCCACAACATAATCAAAACCATACTATCAACGATAATACATTACATTGTGAAATTAAATCTGAATAAAGCAATCATTCTGACTTATCTTATTAATTGTCTTATTCATCAAAACATTGATGATTATTTAGATTGCAACAAGATAAGGAAATTCTGGATGAAATGTGTTTTCAAACTATTTTAATTTATTTATTTTAAATGTTAGTCAGGACAGAATTTATTTATCCACATTAATTTGGCAAGATGCATTGATCCGTTGCAGTGTGTTCATGTGTTAACTTATGCTTTTAATTATTCATTTTATTTTGTATGCATTAATCTTTCTAAATCAGACAATAACAAAATAAATAAAAGATATTAGACGGAAAGCAAACACTTTCAGGTTATCGATTCCTTCTGGAAGAAAGGAGGTGATTATTTAACGTATAAGATGCATTTAAGTATTAATATTTGATGGGGCTCCAGATTAATGCTGGCCAAACGACCAACATGAATGTTTAATGAAGTACAATGGTGTAGGCCTATATTTTCGCTAAAATTGTCATTTTTTGTTTTTAGTGATGTAGACTTACCGTAATTATTACTTAAAAGTGTGCTGTTGCTTAAAAATGCATCATTATTGTGCACTGCATCTGGTAAACGATTGATTTCCATTACATAAAAAAAAAAAACAGTTAAGTGCTGGATTAATTTGGGACGATACATTTATGTGATTATTATACCCTAATATTATCCGCTTGAAAAGTGTCATTTATTGCGCGCCTATGCACTTCATTCCTCAAATGAATGTGACTGGAATCGAAATGATTTACATTCAATTTAAGCCGTCTGTCACAATTCTTTCGTTGAATTAGCCTACCAGATATTATGCATTTTAAAGGAATTAAGAAATTATAATTATATTTGTCAGTAGCCTATATTTTGGTGTGCGATTTGTTTAGGTTGTCTTTCTTTGCTTAAATTGTTAACGTTCTCTTGTAGGCCTACAGTTAGCTACTGAAATGTGTTAAAGGTTTGATATAGATTTTTTATTATTATGAACCGAACCTTTTATTTTGGCTTCCTCAGAGAAGATCCCCAGCATCACGTGAGCCCTAGTTTCTTCCCGATTTACCAGCACGTTGGAACTGTCTGTGGTGCGCCAGTCTACCTGTGTAATGCTCGACATCTGATCCATCGGCGCTCACTGGCGCCACTTCCATCAGCTGCATCTCTGAGCGCACAGCCCTGCTGCTGACAGCTTTAAGTACATCTACATTCATGCAGCACTCTCATCAAGACATGAAAACAATTTAGCCCTGCTTCATTTATCTCATATTTAAGTAATGATTTTCAAAATATTCTATCTGCATTCTGCAACAGCATCCTTCTAAAAATGAAAACAGAAATGTAGCAGCATCAGCTTGGTTTTTCATTTAGTGAAATACAATTACAGAGACAGATATATGTAAATATATCGCTTATCTTTTGAGAAATGTCTGAAGGTTACACCTCTAACATAAAACAGCATGAGCAAAATAAATACTCATTGATGTGAAAAGTATCTCATGCAGTCCTCTTTAAAAATGCCAGGTGAATCTATTAAGCAGCTATTCATTGGACATTTGAACCTCACTAACATTTAGGCCCACTGTAGAATTACAGTTCTCAGTTCTGTGATAAGGGAAATGGGCTTTTATTTTTGGAGGACAGAAGGTCAGGTTCACTGTCTTTAACCTCTGAAATAGATTGATGAACTCCGCAAATACAGCTTCTTAATGCATTATGTCAAAGGGGAAGGGACTGGGCTTCTTTTTTTTCTTCTTTTTTTTTGGCCAGTATTGTTAAAAAGGAAATACGAGGACAAAGCATGCATTATATAAACCACATGAAAAATATACAATACACCATAGAACTTTTAAATACATCTAAACCAAGTAAGCAACAAAAAGCTTTCCTTCTCAAAATATGGTTTCTATGGTTTTTGATCTATGATTTGAAATGATGGTATGAAGCCAAGACAGCTCCTCAAGGGAGTGTGCAAGCAAAGTGAATGGCCTCTAAATGTGAAAAGTGCCGCACTAAGGTGAGACAGAATATGTCTGCTGAAAGCAAACTGGAATGATGACCAAGCACCGGTTAACAATTGTCCAGATCAGTTGCTGAGGTGCTGAGGGACAGGACATCCATTAGCTTGTTGTGTCTCCCATGCTAATGACTTGTTTTACTGGATAATGTGTCTGTCAAAACATAGTATGGACAATTATTTGACAAATTGCCCATCATTACAATATTTCTTACAGTCTAGATAGAAACGAAATGCTTTTGCAATGAGAGGATAACTTGACTAATGACGACCTAGTCAAATTAATTTTCAAGTGAATAAGGCAAATTATTAAACTGGTTGTTTGCCACTACACCAAATTTAAGAAGTCAAAACAAGGTTACGTTATGACTGTGTTCAGACATATAATATGACGTCTTTCGTCAAATAATAACAAAGTTCTTTAATAAGGTTATTAAATCATTATCACAGATAATCAATAATAATTTTGCACAATCTTAAGATGTATATTATAAGTGTTGTTGGCAATACAATATAATGCAATTTGTGTGCATGTGCTATAACTTGGCAAAGCTATATCATTAAACATTAAGGTCAATTTAGCCACTGTGCCATTTAGTATTACAACAAAAGTTGTTGGAGATTGTATATGTTGTCTCTTAAAATACAAACTATCTCGTCCGTTTTCAAGTTTGACCACTTTCATACTCAATCTTATATAACCACACAACTTACAAACTAGTAAACGCAGCCCTTCATAATGCTTATTGCAGGAGGCGTACAGATCGCTCACAGGTTGAATTGGAGTACAGATTTATTGTTTGAATCTCCACTCCCACAAACACATGGGAAGTCTCATTTCATACGGCAGGCACCATGTGGATTCACTCTGCGGTCTAATAGTGGACTTGACACCCATGACAGCGGAAGTCACTGGATGGTGCGTCTGTCCTCTTGAGTGTGGGTGCATCCTGTCGCCTGTTTTATTTAAGGGAGGCTGTTGAAGCCGGCCTCACTTCCCTTTTCCATCCTGAACGCAGCCCAGCTGGGACCCGTTTACTTCACAGAGATGGATGGACTCATCCCACCAGCTACTGGTCATTACGTGTGAGATCAACACTATTGCTCCCCTTCCCAAGCTCCACGGACCAAACTGGAAAAAAAACATCTTCTCTAGAAGTCAGTCTGTACCATTAGCTGCTAGATTGCCAAAGTGAATATCCATAGTAACTAAGCATGTTTTGATTATAAAAACATCAAATGTCTCCCTCTTGTATGATTTGAACGGTTTCATATTATTACCTCAACAGATGAAAATGTAGCCTACTTAAAGGGATAGTTCACCCAAAAATGGAAATTCTGTCATTATTTACTCACCCTCATGTTATTCTAAATCTGTATGTATTTATTTCTTCTACAGAACACGAGAGAAAAGAAATTCTAAAAACATTTGTTTTAGTTTCTACAATGAAAATCATTCATTGTTTGATACCAGTTAACATTCATTGTATTGAATAAAACAGTTTTTAAAATATTTACATTTAATGTCTTCAAAAATAATTTAATTTGACCAAATATTTTCACTTTTGGGTGAGCTATCCCTTTAAATACCTAAACATCCTATAAAAATAAAGAAAAATGAAAGAAGAAAGCATTATAGAGAAAAGCTGAAGAGAAAGTAGAATTTTTTTTTTTTTTTTTTTAATTTAAAAAAAGGAGGAAGAATAAAGAAATGAGCACAGGAGAGGGAAAAGCATGTGGGAAAAGAATAGATATTAATCCAGCAATTTTACAATAAGCAGGGAGGGCATCATTAATCAAAGTTACATATTATATGTGACCTAATTTTTCTTTTTCATTATCTTCATTATTTTCCAAACACTGCAGCATCTACTCTGAATACATAAAGAGATTTTCATGCATATATTCATGATCACATTGCGGGAAAAGCAGGCAATATTTTTTCATTAAATCCCTGACTGCGATATCTACATGTATATGTATCGAAATGTTGAAAGATCAGGGAGTTATCCAAACAATGCCATTAATTTCCTTTATTATCAACAGCGCAGCACGAGAGGCAACCAGAGGCATCATAATCTGTCATCACACGGTGCCTTCAACAGGTAGGCTGTTTTTGTGTTTATCTTTTCCTCCTTGTTCCCTCTCCCCTTGTCCCAATTATGCAGCTCGCTACACCATAACAAACAGGTCCACCAGCCCAAACCTACAAGCCAGAAACACAGCCACAGACTAGCTGGTGCCTGCACAGGCCTCGGGGGCTTCAGCTCACACCTAATGATCTGCTTTGACGGAAAGAGGCTGTGGGCCAGAGCTTAGCATCTCCCATGGTACCCCACCCCCCACACAAACAGCAAGGTATGTGGCATCAGCTGATACACTGACGGTATGTTTACACGACAACGATGTACGGACAAGTTTTTCCTTTTCAAGAAATTCCCGTTCACACGGATATGCGAAAACGACAAAAAATCCTATATTGTTCAAGCCAGGCCAGTAGTTGGCGATGTCACTTTGTAAAGAACGTAATACGCATGACGTCAACGTTTGCACAAATTTCGCGTTTTTGTAGTTTACATGGAGACGATAACGGTACCATTTTCAAAAACTTCCACTTTTAAACTAATATTTAAAAGTTTGCATTTCAGGCCCCAAAAACACTGTTG